AAGCAAACACGGTGACAGTAGTCAGCCCTGTCGTACTCCTTTCTCAGTCTTGAACCAATCAGTTGTTCCATACAAGGTTCTAACTGTTGCTTCTTGACCCGCATACAGGTTTCTCAGGAGACAGGTAAGATGGTCTGGTATTCGGAGGTAAGAGCTTTGCACTGTGTGTCATGATCAGTACAGTCAAAGGGTTTAGCGTAGTTAATGAAATAGATAGATATTTTCCCGGGGATTAGGATGTATACATATATTTTGGGTTCACCCTTCAGTCTACTATAGAAGTCAAAATATCAGAAAGTTTGTTATAAAATATATTTTGGTATTGGTAACGGCATACTTCAAAATATACAAAGCCTCCAGCCAATGAGTATGAATAAATTGGAAACACCCATTAAGGCAGATAGAAAGTTGTGATAGACATCTTGTCCAGGTGTGACTGTGGTGCTTGTTGAAGGTTAATCATGACAGTGCATACACATTTCGAATGTATATTGATGGGTATCTGTTGAACAGTCTCTTCAGAAGACTTGGTACTCTAAAAATGCTGCTGCTTTATTTAACAAGACTTTCTCCCCATTATAACTAGGCTGTCTTTTAAGTTAGTTGAAATCTGTGGGCTGTGAATATAAAAGTATGATGCAACTTCGTTTTAATGCAGGAGGTACACACTTGGGTGTAAATGCTATGCTTAAAAGATAAGATGTGATTAACTTTTGTTGTTGTTTAGTCACCAAGAGGTGTCCAACTCTTTTGTGACCCCCTGGATTGTACCCCACCAGGTTCCTCTGTCCATGCAATTTCCCAGGCAAGAATACTGGAATGGGCTGCCATTTCCTTCTCCAGGGGCTCTTCATGACCCCAGGATTGAGCCCACGTCTCCTGCATTGGCAGGTGGATGCTTTACCACTGAGCCACCAGAGAAACCTTTTATCTTAGTCTGTCTAAAAAAGAATGGTGGCAGAGAGGGTAACTTTATTCTAGGAACTTAGCCCCTGTGAAAGCCAGGACTTTTTGGCCATATTTTTAGAGCAGACTTAGATGTGCCTTATTTGAACTCCCACTGCCTAAGCTGAGTCAGTTAAGGTGTCCCATGACCAGCTGGACAAGATCTGGTTTTCTTGGGAGTCCCAAGGCTGCAAGAGCAATTCTGCTTTGCTGTCTGTGTGCACAGTGTCTTTCCAAACTGTTGGGAAAAGCTGTAGCTTTTTAAAATTCTTTTAAGGATTTTAGGAATTCCTAGAATATTCTCAGAATATCTTTCTTTTGTACTGGGTCTAGTATGTAGCAATCAGCTTACTTTCTTGTTTTATTGATACCTTATGAGTTTGTGTCCTCTGTAAGGCCCATTTCTTTAGAGCTTTTGGAACTCAAAAATGAATATTTAATTAGGCCAACACATCATGATATTACATGAGCTTTAGTTAAGAATGTTTATAAGAACCTGTAATAAAGGATTTGCTTTCAGGAAATACTCATAACCCTTCTCCAAATTTTAGTGGGCACAAGAAATCTGGTATAATACTGGAATATAAGCTTTATGAGTTAGAGACCATTATTTCTTGTCTGCTATTGTGTCTCTAGCACCTAGGATAATTTCTCAGAAAGCCCATTCATACTATAGATGGAAAATGATAAAATAAAAACTACATTCAGGAGTCTTCATTGAAAGTTTGGGATAAACTGTTAGCATGACAGTACAGTTGTTGGTTAACTGAATCAATTCAAAATTAGTAATAAAATTTTCTGAGAAATACTTAATGTTTATCTAATAAAGAAGGGAAATTTTCACTTCAGTTTTTCTTCTGAATAAATGACTATCAAACTCATTGAGTAATATGTGTCAGGGATGCATAATAGACTTATTTTTAAGAAATTTTTGTTAATCAAAAGCCCTGCTATAAGCCACATAAATATTTTTAATTCATTAAGATTTGTTTAACAAGAAGATAAAATTTTTGTGGTGATGTTTTAGGTCTTTCATCTACACATGTAAATTCTTAGTGGTTGATAGGAAATTATTCTTAGAATTGAAAACTTGACATTTCTTTCAATTATACATTTTTAAAAGAAATGTATTTAGTACTCTTAAAAGAGAAGGAGAAATGTGTAAGAAAAAATGATGTTATCCCGATTTTTTTCTTCTTTAAATTTACAAAATGGATTTGTTTCATTTTATCTTTGGTATAGTTATTAAACTATTATTATTTTAACTTATCAAAGTTATAACATTTTGTACCAGTACAAGTTACTGTTTTAAAATAACATTTGAAATATAAATATAACATCACTGATTAGAGAACATCTAATGATTTTAATTTTTATACAGGAATACTTAAATATGAATAGAAAAATAAAACAATAAGTACAAGTAAGAAAGGATCTGTTTGATTTTTTTATTGAGAACTGTGAGTTTGTCATTCTGATTTTATAAATTTGGCCTGTGTTTATTCACATTAGGGCCATATTTTTAAGTAAGTTAAAGTTATGAGTGGTGTCAGGTTTTCCTTTTTCTTTCCCTTAAGTTTTTCTTGTATGCTTAACACACTTGTGGGGGAAGATGTTCATATATACACTTAATCATTTAGTAAGTTATTTTTGAGCATCATCAAGTGGCAGGCACTAGATTGGACACTTGGAGTGTATCACTTTAAGAAAAATGAACTGACAGTATTTATTTCTGTTGGTTAAAACTGAGTTTTAAAGCAGAGTAGGATTTTGGAGAACATATCTGCTGTCATGAGCTGCAGAGCTTCCCACTGCTTACTTTCCTGATAAGATTTGTAGTGGTACTGAATGATTGTGTAGTGAATTGTGTCAGTATTTGGAAGATCAATAGAACGTGGTGGACCAGTGTTTCCTAAATGAACGGTGTGTGCTGTTAGAAAATCATGCAGCATGTAAAAGATTCATTCAGTGTGAAATACAGACTCAGGGATTTTACATAGCAAAGTACAGAAGTTCATTGATAGTGGTTTCATATTCCACATTGCAGGCAACCTTTTAGAAAATGACTGTTTGTCAAATGCTGGTGTAGTATCAAAGAAAGACATCCATAACTATCTGAATATTCATCCCTTTTCCAACTACATATCCTGTTTGGGCTAGATTTTTTTTTTAATATTTCAATCAAAAATATATTACTGTAACAGTTTAGATGTAGGAACAGATATGAAACTGACTGTCTTCTTTAAAGCCAAACATTAAAGAGATTTGCAAAGATGTAAAGCAGTTCAGCTCTTCACCTTGATTTTTTTTGTTTTAGAAAATAAAACTGTTGTCATAACAATATTAATGTTGCATGCAATGAGTTTATTTTTTTACTGTTAAAGGAAGTAATAAAAATTTAAATTTTCTCCTTTTCAGTTTCTAATACAGTAAATATTATAGTTGTAATCTACATACACAAAAATTCATTGGCTGTATTTAAGTATTAAAAATATTTAAGGGTGTAAAGAGGTCTGAGGTGAGAATTTGGAGAATTGTCGACCCAGAGGAATGATTCCACATCTGGAATACATGTCAGGGATGAGATTATGGAAGAACTCATGTTTTATACTAAGAGACTGATACTAAACAGTAAGGAGTCAGAATATTTTTGAGCATAAAAGTGATATCATCAAAGCAGTACATAAGGACATTAGAACTATCTGGAGGTGATAGATATATTATGATGGAAGAGGGAGAGTAGAATGGGAGAAAAGTCACAGTACATTAGCAGAAGAGCAGATGTAAAGTGGTAGGGTATCTTAGTGAAGTGAAGTCGCTCAGTCGTGTCCGACTCTTTGCAACTCCTTGTACTATAGCCTACCATGCTCCTCTGTCCATGGGATTTTCCGGGCAAGAGTACTGGAGTGGGTTGCCATTTCCTTCTCCAGAGGATCTTCCCAACCCAGGGATCAAACCCGGGTCTCCCGCATTGTAGGCAGACACTTTACCATTTGAGCCACCAGGGAAGATATCTTAGGTTGGCTAAATAAGAGAGACTTGTGAAGTCAGTACTGACTTAGCTACCGATGAGAGGGAACAGTCAAATGTTAGGTTTGAGCTTCGATAACTGATGTCAGGAGAAACTGATTTGAAGGGGAAGCTGAACTGCTTTGAGAGTTTTGTAGTACTGTGATTAAGCACTTGAGATTGAAAAGCCAGATAGAAATATTCAATAGAGAAGTGAAAATTGAGACCAGGGAGCCTTCCGGCTCTTGTGCCTCTGTTGCTTAAAATTTTTAAAAAGTGTGAAGTAAGCAAATGGTGATCTTGATGCTAAAAATTTATATTTTGGTAGCTAGTTGATAGCTTGTATCAAAATCTGACAGTATATACATTTATTGACTATTGTGTGCTTGGCACTAACTACATGTTCTTAGTTCTTACATTTATGTGTATGAATGTGTGTGTGGTTTTTAAGCTCTATTAACCCATGTTCTTTCATTTCCTTGACTTGTTTACAGCATTTGTGCAGTTATTTTCCTTTTAATAATAGAATGTTGTTTAAACAAGTTATGCTCAAGATTTAACAATGAAAATAGACTTTTTCCCTTTCTTTTTAAAAAAATGACACGATTAGTTGTGGTACATGGAAGAGAAACATCTATTTCATGTCCCTCTTGTGATAAGTGTTTTTCATCGAAATTCCTTGATACTGTGTGTATGATTTATTTACCAAGGCTTTTTAAGATGACTGAAAATATGCTCTAACAACCATCTGATATGAAAAACTGAACAAAATGTGTGCTCAGTTGAATGAATCTCTGAAGAAATAATGGTGCAAATGAATTATCAAAGTGTGAAATCATTAGAAACAAAACATGTTTGGGTTTTTATTGAAACTTAATTGCAGGCTTATGTATTTCCTTTTGTAAGCTAAGTTAAAAGAAAATTGCCTGTCTAAATTTTTGGAGGCCAGTGTTGTAGGACATATATTGTACCATAATTTATTTTTTCACATAAAAGCTGCTGTTCATTTTTCCCCCAGCATTAACATGCATGCTTTCCTCATGTAGGAGAATATATAAAAAACTGGAGGCCAAGATATTTCCTTTTGAAGACAGATGGCTCATTCATAGGATATAAAGAGAAACCCCAAGATGTGGATTTACCTTATCCCCTCAACAACTTTTCAGTAGCAAGTAAGTTAATTACAATTGTTGATTCACCTTGTATTTATTTATTTGTATGTCTGTATGTGTCAGATACTTTGAGATATGTGGAAAGCCTATGAAAAAGTTTAGGTTTGTTCTTAATTGCAGATAAGTTTTCAGTTTATATAGAATTTCAGTTCCTTAGCATTGGAACTGAAAAGTTCCATGGATTATTACAAACTGTGGTCTTATATAATCCAAAATAGTGTAATTTTTTCATAGTTAGAACTTTGTTATAAAAACCATTCCCCAGGTACATACCTCAAGTTTTTCTTTAAAGTGTACTTTGAACTTGACTGCTGGATTGAACTTGGTTGTAAGATGTTGCAATCCTTAGTGCACCTCTAATAGAAGTTTCCTGTCATAATCTTAACCCTTTTGATTGATTGTATGATAAGCAACAAGTGATTTACTTTAAACATTATTTTCTGAGAAGATTTTGTTTGTGGTAAATTTTTCTTCCTTACAAATATCTAACATTATTTCTTCCTTACAAGTTTCTAAACAAGTTTGTAATTTAAACTTATTTAGGAATTATATATTTTCTTGAAAATAGCCAAAGATAAACTGAAAGATGATGATGATGATAATGGGGATTATAATTGTTATAACCAGGCTTTCAGATTGTTCAAATTGCTGATTAATCAATGAAAGGGGTTTTCTGTGTTAATTCAGGAATAAAGCATTTTAAAGCATAATGTTAAGTTAAAATAAACTTGCATTAGAGATAAAATTTGTACCATTGTGGTAAAATCTTTTAACTAGACACACCATTCTTAATTTTGATTTTGATTGTATGCAGTTATCTATTAGTCATGATTTGGAAAGATATGAGGGAAAATTGAAGCAAAAATCAGTTAAAAAATATAGCAGCATCAGAAAATCCAAAATGATAAAAATCCTTGAATGTTATACACGTGATTTTATCATTGTATAGCACCCCAGTCTCTTTTTTTGGATACTTTCTTTCAGTTTTTTTAAACAACAAGGTAGGACAATAAACCAAAAAGTTTGTGAAATCATTTTAACTATTAAAAAACCTCTTGTTTATGTAAGTGGATTTTTCCATAGGGAATTTCATTTTTTAAAAAGTGAAGATACCGTTATATTTGTGTATTAAAATAATTTTTTCTCCGCCAAAATGGCTCATTAGATCCTTATGGCTTTCTCTCAGTAGAAAATTATTTTAAAAATCCTGTTGTCAATTGCAATAATATCTTATATTTTGTGTTGACTTATGAATACATTTTCTTTCTAAAGACATTTTGGGCAAGCATTTGCTTTAAAGTGATAGAAATTGTCTTTTAAAACATTAACAGTGTACATTTTTGTATCTGACCTAAAGCCAGTGTGGTTTCATAGTTTGTCTATTTTACTAGCAAATGCTATTATTGGTTTGTCTGAAATAATTTATAAAGTACAGAACTCCTATATCTGCTGATCAAAATGCAGCATTTTTTGACCTTATGAAATTTCACACCCCAACAAGTTTTAAAGACATACTGTATGTCACAGTCTGCCAACATCTGCTCCAACACTTCCACTGGCAGAGGCTGAAATAAATGCTGCACTCTTGAGGAGAGAACCTATTTTGTGACTGACAGTCAGCTTATCCATGAAATCAATATTAGTTGGCATCTGTAATCTTTACTTGAATAATCAAGTAGTTGTGGATAGTTAAATTAATAAGTGAAGTTATAGTCCAGCTCCTTAATTTTGGGAAACGTGTTAATAACATGGATCTTACAACAAACTGTTTAAAACTGATTGTTTTTAACGCCTGACTTATTGTAGTCATAAGTTTGCAATAATTTGTTTTTGTCAAAGTTACGTCTGACTCTTTGCGACCCCATGGACTGTACAGTCCCTGGAATTCTCCAGGCCAGAATACTGGAGTGGGTAGCCTTTCCCTTTTCCGGGGGATCTTCCCAATCCAGGATCAAACCCAGGTCTCCTGCACTGCAGGCAGATTCTTTACCATTTGAGCCACAAGGGAAGACCGTGAATACTGGAGTGAGTAGCCTATCTCTTCTCCTGCGGATCTTCGCGACCCAGGAATATAACCGGGGTCTCCTGCATTGCAGGCGGATTCTTTACCAACTGAGCTATCAGGGAAGCCCCCTTGCAATAATTGCCTGAGATAACAGTGTGTAGTGAAAAGGGCCCTAGTTGAAGAAATAGTTCAAATTTAAGTTCTACCAAAAACCATGAGTATGACCTTGGGCAGGTCGTTCTCACGCTCTCTGGTTTTTAGTCCCTTTATCAGCATGGTGAGGACACCTGAATGAGTTTGTAAGGTCCCTCTTGTCTCTAGCTTTCTGTGATTCTGTGAGGGAAGTTTGAGCAGGCCATTGAAGAGTGAGTGGGGATGAAATTATTATAAAATAGAGGACAAGAATATTTTCGGCAGAGGGTAACAAGGAATGTTTTTGTGAGGTTTTAAGAGAAGGAACAGGAAGAGCCAGAGAGGGTTACTCTACCAATAATCTCCCACTGGTTCTAGCTGTCTTCAACATATGACGAAGAGAAACTAGGAATACAAGGTGCAGCGTACTCAGGTATGTTGGGGGATGTTATATATACACATGTATTCCATCCATAGCTACCATGTGTCACCTGTTTTTCCTGATGATTAAAATATGGTACTTCAAGATTAATCTTTTTGAGTTTTAATGAAATTTTACCAAAATAGGCTTTTTATTTGTATGAAAATAATAAAGTAAGAGAACTAGATGGGACTTAGTATTGATCTTTCCACTCTTCATTGAAGTTTCAGATTCCTTTTCTTCTAGTTTAAAATTTCCCCAAAGATAAGTCTTTATACTAGTTGTTTCTACTTTTCAGTCCACCGCAGTCTTAACTTTTTTATTTGCTTGATGAAACCACTTTTAGTAAGTTCTCCAGTGACCCCTTAATTGCTCAGACTAGGAGACAGTCTTTTTTAGTTATTTTCCTGGATTTACATCTGGGGGGCATTCTGTAGTTTTGATTACTACTTCTTTCTTGGGATGATCTCTGTCATTGTTTTCTAAGATGCTTTTCTTTCCTGGTTTTCTTGGTTGACTTATTGCATGCATTTGGCTATCTAACTGGGTTCTGGCCAAGGACTATTCTCACTTTGTACTCTCTTCCTGGATGGTCACATTCACATTAAGGTTTCAGTTACTCCTAGTATACAGCTTGCTCTCACATTTACACATCTTCAGGGCAGGCCTCTTTTCAGAGCATTAGGTTGCTATCTTTACAATATTCAACTGACTATTGGACATCTCTACCTAGATATTTTTGGAGGCAACATATCTTAAGCTGAACTGAAGACAATTTGATTAACTTTTCCCCCTGTATTCACTACCTCAGTTCTATCTTGAGCAGAAATCTGGATCTATTTCATGCCTTTTTTCCTCTCGTATCTTCACCTTACTCCCAATTTATTTCTAGTCTTTCCTGTCTTGCTTCTTATTTCTTGAAATTGTTTCCTTCTCTCTAATCTCTAGAATAGGCCCTCATCATCTCTGCTGTAGATTTTTAACTATAGATCTCTGCCTGTAGTTTCTACCTCTCATATTCTTTTTTCCCATGAGTGTCAAAGTGATCTTTCTAAAATTAAGTCCTAACTATGCTGCTAACCTGTGAAAACCCGGCCCTAGATCTTCATTTTATCCTGCTGGATAAAGTCCAGATTCCTTAATAAAGCAGGCAACCATCTCAGGCTGGCCTCTGCTTTCAGCTCTTTCCTCATCTCTCTTCTGCTGTCCATTTACACATTGGCAGTACTGAACTGTTTGTAATTTCCTGTATAAACTATGTAGCATTTCTACTCTGAGCCTTTATGCTGTTCCCTCTGTCTTCTATTTGCTGGAATAATTTTTTTTTTCGTCTTTTAAGACTATTCGGATTTAAATCCCCAGCCTCATTGCTTGCTGAATCCTTCGTCTCTGTTCTTCACAGAGCTGTTATCTTTTGTTGTTAATCACGTTTCTTGGTTGTCTTGTTCATGTGTATGTCTCATCCAGTAAACTGTGAGTCATTTTAGGGGAAAGAGCTTAGTATTATAAGATCTTTATATTTCACATGTCTTAGTACCTATATACTAGGCAGTAATAGCGGGTTTTGAATGCATTTCTGAAAACATCTAGTCAGGTTTTTCCCTTTGTAGATGAGAAAAATGAAGCCTTTGAAAATTCAGTGATTTTTTTAAAAAATTAATTTATTTTAATTGGAGGCTAATTACTTTACAATATTGTAGTGGTTTTTGCCAAACATCGACATGAATCAACCACGGGTGTACAGTGTTCCCCATCCAGAACCCCCCTCCCACCTCCCTCCCCATCCCATCCCCCAGGGTCATCCCAGTGCACCAGCCCTGAGCACCCTGTCTCATGCATCGAACCCGGACTGACGATCCACTTCACATATGATAATATACATGTTTCAACACTACCCTTTCAAATCATCCCACCCTCACCTTCTCCCACAGAGTCCAAAAGACTGTTCTTTACATCTGTGTCTCTTGCTGTCTCGCATATAGGGTCATTGTTACCATCTTTCTAAATTCCATATTTTTGCGTTAGTATACGGTATTGGTGTTTTTCTTTCTGACTTACTTCATTCTGTATAATAGGCTCCAATTTCATCCACCTCATTAGAACAGATTCAAATGTATTCTTTTTAATGACTGAGAAATATTCCATTCTGTATATGTACCACAGCTTTCTTATCCATTCGTCTGCCGATGGACATCTAGGTTGCTTCCATGTCTTGGCTATTATAAACAGTGCTGCGATGAACATTGGGGTGCACGTGTCTCTTTCACTGGTTTCCTCAGTTTGTATGCCCAGCAGTGGGATTGCTGGGTCGTATGGCAGTTCTATTACCATTTTTTAAAGGAATCTCCACACTGTTCTCCATTGTGGCTATACTAGTTTGCATTCTCACCATCAGTGTAAGAGGGTTCGTTTTTCTCCTCACCCTCTCCAGCATTTATTGTT